GCCCAGCCAGCCAGGCTGGTGGCCCACCTGCGCGCACGCGGCATTGGCCCATGGCCGGCTGTGGCCCACGCGGCCAAGGCCTAGAGGAGGCGGCTGCGGCCCAAGCGGCGTGGCCTAGCCAGAGCGGGCCAGCCAACGCGAGATGCGCGACACCAGGCCCAGGGATGGCACAAGGCCGGCCCAACTTGGAAGAGCCCCGGTGGGGATGCACTTTTTGCATAAGAGACCCTATAGTAATGTGAAAACCAACCCAAAATCTAGAGCACTATTGATACGAGTCATCCAATTCTTAACAAGCACCCTAGAAATAAACATTCCTTACCCCGTGGTCCTTCTCTTCCTCCTCACAAAGAGAGCTCGGACAGGGGAAGCACTCCGTCGCCCGATGGGGCGGCTCGCCAGCGGCGGTGCTGTCGCGGGGCGGCGCGGGGAGGTGCGCGGCCACAACCAAGCTCGCCTGGCCACGGCGCGGACCGAGGCAGAGCTCAGCACGGTGACCACACGTGGCCATGCCAGGGGAGGCGGCGTGCCGGACCTGCCCGAGAAAGATGGCCGGCCATGGCGGGGCGCGAACGATCCGGCTGGTGAGGCGAACCCCTTGGCACCGGCGGACAAGGCGTGCATCCGGCTGGGCGGTGCCGTGGAGGCAGAGCCCCGCCGTGGCAGCAGCAGCAGGGCAGGCCAGGGCGAACGACGGCGGGTGTGGCCACTGCGGTGGAGCGGCGTGGGTCCACGCAGCTCGGGCACGCACGCGCGCACGGCGGCAGGCGATGGGAGCGGTTCGTGGAGCGGAGGAGGCGCTTGAGAGGGACGACGCCATGGTGCAGCAGGCCCAGCGCGGGCCGTTGGGCGCGACGCGGTGGCACGTGACCACGGCGGTTGTTGGGCTCGGTAGAGGCAGACAGAACAAGCAAAGCAGGTAATAGAGACAAGCAATGCAGGCAACAGAGGCAGAGACCGAGAGAGGGAGAGAGAACAGAGGCGAGGATAGCAGCTCAGTCACAGTGTGCACAAGAAGGAGCGCAGGAAGCGGGAGCAGCGGGGCATGGGCACGACAAAGCAACAACACGACAAGGACAGTGCTGCAGGTGCTCCTCTGGAAACAACGAGCATAGACAGGACGACTCAAACTTGGTGGGACACGAAGGCAGCTAGCTCCTCCATGGTTAGGTGGGTCGTGCGGTGGGCGGAGCACCACGTCGGCCAGACGGCTGGCAGGCAGTGCACGTGGTGACTGTAGGCCGAGCCGTTCGACGGTGAGTAGTGATGCGCACGAATTTAAAAGCTAAGCAAGTGTTGCGATTGATCGCGATTAAGGCCCAAGCAACTCCTCCAATCTGAAGTCCACACTACCGTCTATCAAACAATAGAACCAAAACATCAGGGCGTTATTTTACTATTTTTGCATTTTATAAATCGCCAAAAAGTGTACTTTCAACACAACTTTAAATTTTTGCCGATTCAACGAAAAGGGCTAATTTTAATTTCCAATTCGATTTTTGAGCTATCAAAAATACCACGGAACAACATCCATTCACCAAATCAACAGTTGCATTTTTAACTACTAACTCGCACTTCAAATTTTTATTTAAGTTCTAATTACAAGTTATATTTTATTTTATTTATAAAAATTGTTTTCATGCTCAATGCAACAGAACAAGCCATTCGCAATTTATTCGCTATCAGACATTTTTAAGCGCTTTCTTCATACTTTTTCCAAAACAAGCCCTAAACAACTTTTGTCTACAAGATCTATTTAAAAGTTGCTAAGCACCAAGACAAGTTGACTAGCGACACTTATTTGCTCGTTTTATTTACGAAAGCGAGTCACACAAGATTCATTTATAATTCCACATGTGCTTCAAACTTTTAAACCTGAAAATTTGTTTTACTAATTACTCTTAGGCAATAACCTAGGTGTTAAGTAAGCTCGTAACACCAGAGGTGTTACACCGGTCGGCGGGGCGGTCTGGGCCACCTGTACGACCGCTATGGCGGTCCTCGTCATGCCGCTGGAGCACATGGCTGGGCGCGCTCATGGCGCTTCCGCTCGTGGCTGCGTGCGCCGCGGGGTGGGGCTCCGTCACGTCCACGCCTTGGCGCTGCCACGTCAAGCCCCCTCTAGTGGTCGGTCGGATCTGGGCCCCTAGGGCCGGGTCTGGCTTTAGGGGCGCCCTGCCCTCCACCTCGACAACGGCGGCCGACGGTTCCATTCGGGCGGCCAAAGGCAGCGCTGGTGATAGCGGCGGTCAGATCTGGCTAGCCGGCGGCGCCAAAGCAGGCGCGCTACGGCCAGCTGTGCGCTGGCATGGCGATCGGCAGCTACCTGTGGTTGGTTATTCTCGCTGAGGCCATTTGGCTACGGCTGGGCAGGGTTCCTACGGCCAGTTGCTAGCTGCCCTAGACATGCTTCGACAGCCAGGGCCTGCGGCCTCCTGCGTTGCTGGCCAGAATCGTTGGTGCTGGACCTGCCCCTACCTTCGTGATATGTTGTTGTGCTGGGTCGGCCCGCTGCTTTGCTAGGATCGCCCAAGCGGCTGTGTTCGAACAAGCTCTTGGGTGAAAACTTTTCCCGGCTTCTCGCTTCAGGCCTGCGACGGTGGTATAGTCTGTGCCATCCAACTTCTTGAAGGCGTTCGTCGAAAGATGTGTTCGTAATGCGGGTCGTAGGGGCGGTCCTGGGACGAAAGTCCTTGTTGTGCTCTCTGTTCAACGTTGTTGATGTTTGAGGATGTTATTCCCTTCTTGGAGGCCTCGTTGGAGCACTTCCGCCGCCGTCCTGTTCCTCTCGCTGGTGCCGCTCCTAGCTGTGCTGTGCCTGCATGTGCTTTAGCTTCGTCTTCACGTTGGTCTGTCCACCTTGGATGTTGGTGTTGCTGCAGTCGTCTCGACGGATACTTTGCTGTCGTTGGTCATCTTCTTCGCAGCGCCTACCTGGCCGCTTGCCGATACTCGATGGATGCTTTGCCGTCGTTGCTGCCTAGGCGGATGCTTTGCCACCATAGTCGCTACCAGCCCACGGATGTTTTGTCGCATTGTGCTCACGGATTTTGCCGCGTTCTTGCCGGTGGATACTTTGCCACCGAGGCTTCACCTCCCTTGTTGGCAGCCTTCGCGTCGTTATCTTTAGCTGCTCCAGCTAGCTAGGTTGTGGTGGAGGGCCCTTCCCCTGCCGCACTTCTTACTTTCACTTGTGTTTTTCATTCTAAACCACTCCCTCTGTAGTTTTTTTATCCTGCGCTATGGGTTCTCCCATAGTCACATCGTGTATGCCGTTCCTTTGGCACTCTTGCTTCTTCTTAATGAAATTCACGTGAATGCGTGTTCCCGAAAAAAAAGAATGAATGCCAATGTTTATTATGGCATGAACGCTGGCAAATCCGATCAACAATTTTGTTACAAAACGATGCATGTGTGTTGGATCTTGTTGTAACTTTCTCATTGCTGCAAACCAAACAAGTACTGTTGGCTTAGGGCAAAATGCACGTCCGTAGAGCTGCCTACAATGGCCCTGATCGATGGGAGGAATTTGGAGGAATCTGGATGAATCTGAAAGAATTTGTGAGAGCATGAACAGTAAATTTCAGCTCATCACAGTGAATTTCGGCTGATATTCATACCAGCCGAACGGCATCAATATCAACGTTCAAGTATCTTACTTGTACAAAACTGGAAGGCATTGGATCGGAGTTCCGTATCGAATAATACTCCCTACACATAAAAAATACAGCTTTTACTTTTTGAGAAATCAAATAATTTGATTTTAAGTAAATCTATACAAAGAAGTTTATGATATCAAATAAATATCATTAGAATAATCATAAATATGTTTTTACTCTAAATTTATTTAGAGATATAAATATAAATACTATTTTCTATAAACTTAATTAAATTTTAGAAATTTGACTCATCCAAGATCTACAATTGTATGTTTTTTTGGATGGAAGGAGTACATTGGTAGTATTTGGTTGGAGGGATCAGGTGGGAGAGTGAGCATTTCTCATTTAACAATTGGGGCTCGTACGTACGTCAAACAAAAAATGGGCCGGTTCAGTTGATTGGATCCGTCCCATCCCAGGAATTAGGGACAGGACTATCCCACTTCACTTTATTTTCCAAACAAACGCTACCTTTGTAGGTACTAGCAGTTTTAGAGCACGGTGGCCAAGGTCCATTTTTAAAATACTTTTTAAGGCAATCCATACCTCAAAAGAGACCCAATTCAAAGAGGACATGTCGTTTTATTGCAACGGTAATTTTCGTCCAGGATGGATAGATGTTTATATACTAATTAAATTAATAGATTTTACACTTAGTGCGTTGATTATCTTTAATTCATTCGGTCTCATTTTGTGCTTTTTGAAAATTCACCATGGAAAATCTCTAAAAAAGAATACCAGGGCTGAAAATCATAAATTTATTATGGTCCACTACTAAAATTATTTGTGATAAATCGAAATAATCGTATTTACATAATTTTTCCAAACCACGGAAAAAATATATTGCTCAGTTTCCTAGAGCAGCGGCCCGTAGACGTGCTGCGCACTCACGGAGGAAAGGAACCCCTCGAAGTGCTCTCGAGACCCAATAGTATGAGAGTCCAGAACTGTTTGAGGCATCCTGCGCAGCCCAAGCCCAAACGAAAATCACCCACCTCCAACGCCGCGCCCAGCCCTCCTCTATGGGACCTCTGCAGCCCTGCCCAGCCGAAGCACGCTGTGCTGCGGGTCCGTGGCCCACTGGCTTATAGAACTCGGCGTCGCGTTCTGTAAGCCAGTGGGCCACCACAACTGCTTTGCTTATCGGCGCCCCCTCGCTTGTTTCCCCCGTCCACCGTCGTGGCGCCGCCGCCACAACTTCTTTGCTTATCGGACATGTTGCCGGCGACGGGACGCGGGAAGGCCAACCATGCCGTCGCCCTCCTTCGGCCGAAGCTGAGAAGCGTTGGGCGGAGATCCATCTAGCTCGTCCTTCCCTGGAGGTGAGCAACCCTAGCGAGCATGTCGTTGCGGTTGTGCATGAAGAACCTGCCCAAGGGCGCCGACGAGAGGCGCCTGCGGGAGGTGTTCTCGCGGAAGGGCGAGGTCACCGACGCCAAGGTCATCCGAACAAACAGCCTGTTCGGGAGGCCGTATCGTATCGTGGATTATTTACTGCTGGCTGGTTTGGTGTGAGAGAAAAACACTGTTCCCGGCTGGAAATTTACGATCGTTTACGAGCAAGCGAACAGGCTGAAAGTAAGCAAGCTGAGCAATAAATTATTATTATTATTATTACTTTTTTTTTTTTTGCCCCTTCCGGTTCGTGTAGGAGACGAAGTGGGTCGGCTTCTCTCGTTTCCTCTTACCGAACGAATTGTATTTTAAGTGCAAAGGATCTACATGAAATTGAGCTTTTGCTTTTGGGCAGGGATGGCAAGAGTCGGCAATTTGCATTCATTGGTTACAGAACCAATGAAGAGGCAGAGGAGGCACTCAAGTATTTCAACAACACATACATTGATACTTGTAAGATCACCTGCGAGGTACTTTCCTTTTTAGCTGTTTTCAACATTCTCCTCGGTCCTGTGGTATCAGTTTGGTGAATTGTCTGTACGAGATTGAATGGGACAGTGATGAGTTAGGATTAGGAATATCCGTACCTTACATCTGTCATGGTATTTGGCAGGTTGCCCGAAAGATTGGTGACCCTGATGCTCCTCGCCCTTGGAGCCGCCATTCTTTAAAGAAGCCCGAACATGCTAGCAAAGACAAGAATAATGCTGGAGCTGTTGATGCACCGCCAAAAGGTTCCAAGGCTCAAGGAACCTCAGCTCATGTTAGTGGTTCTAAAGGCAGTGTAGCTAATGATCCCAAGTTCCTAGAGTTCCTTGAAGATATGCAGCCCCGTTCTAAAGCCAAGATGTGGGCAAATGATACAGCTGCTACTCTTGACACCGCTGCAAAAGATAGCGTAGTAGCCACTAAAGAATCTAAGGGACCTCTCAAAAATGTTCCGACCTCTGAGAATGATTCATCTTCTGAATACACTTCTGATGACGAGGAAATGACAAATGATTCGTCTTCCGGAAAGGCTTCGGAGGAGCTACAGACAGAGAATAAACAAGACAAGAATATGACTGATGCAGATTTCTTCAAGAGTAAAGTCAAGAAAAATTGGTCAGATTCTGAATCTGATGATGAAGGTTCTGTCACCAGTCAAATACCACCACTGATGATGAAGAATCGTCAGATGAATCACAAGATGCAAATAACCAGTTGGCGGATCTGAAGGGCAATCTTGACAAGAAAAACATTGTGGACAAGGACACTATTGTGGATAATACCGACTTGCAAGAGGTGGAAGATCTTGACAACAAAGAGAGTGAAGATCTTGATGGCAGACAAAGAGAAACTGAAATTCGTGATGATCAAGAAGGGGAAGCTGAAAATGGTGCTCCAATTACTGATGAAAAGAAGTTGGCCCTGGAGACTGGTCGTCTATATATCTGCAACCTTCCATATGCAACCAGGTAGGTTGACACATTCTTGCCTGGTCATGTTAACTTGGATCATCATTTTGTGTGTTATTTGTGTATATTCATGGCACAGCTGCATAGTTTTTTTTAAAAGGATATTGTTGCTTATTTTTTCAGTGAAGATGATTTAGTGGAGCTGTGCCGCCAATATGGTGATGTGGAACAGGCACACATTGTTGTCGATAAAACCACTAAGCTATCGACCGGTAGAGGCTATGTGCTTTTTAGCCTTCCGGACTCAGCAGTCAGGTACAGATTTATAATTTCAATGTTCAATTGTGAACTTTAGGAGTTAGGACTTGCGACAGGGAGCTTTCTTGCAATGTGACAGTCTTCCTTTGGATATTCTTATTTATTTAAGACATAATCACCTTACTTGGCTCAAATTTGTTTTGCTTTTTATTATCCTGCACATAGTCATACTTGTCCCTAAATAATTACTAAGAAGATGTTAGCGATTTGAAGGCAAAAGCTGAACGATGTCTCAAACTTCTCCCACATTAGATGCATATCCAATTCAATACTGAATGTTTTAATCATAATTTGAGACACAATCACACCAAAGAAATGCACTTTTGTGAGTTTTAGGACATAATTGAATCTAGGACCTATCCTTTTTAAGAACTACACGTGCATGTTTCATACACGTCCTAGTCACTGAACACTTATCAATATGTGAGCAAGAAGTTTGACTGAGACGTCTTATTTTCCATGCTTGTGTTGCTTCCTTGCTAGATGGTACATTGACCATTATATACCCACCTAATATTGAACTGTTATTTTTGGCAGGGCACTTGATGAACTAGATAACTCAAGTTTTCAGGGCCGATTGTTACGTGTTAAGGCTGCTAAACCGCTAAATAATAATAAGTTGGAGTAAGAAATAAAGTTCTGTTTGTATTGTTACTTGTTAGATTAGTTACACCTATAGTTTTTACTGATTTGCTATTGAATTGTCAAGGTATAATCATGAAACTGTTGTGGAGAAAATGAGTCTCAAGCAGAAAAGGTTGGAACAAAAGAAAGCTTCTGAGATCAGTGGGGATACGAGAGCATGGAACAGCTTTTATATGCGTCGAGATTGTTATGGTTGGCCGGACCTATGAACGCAAGAGACGCCACAGCAGTGGCTGAGTCGGCTGCACCAGGGGCCTGAGTCGGCTGAAGGCTGAGTCACAAGTAGTTTATTTGAGTCAGTTAGTTTGTTAGATCACAGGAATATTTTGTGGAGTTTGTTAGCGCATGCTTGTAAGTGCCTATATGGCCAACCATCGGATGGAGGAAGAGGTTAGCCTGGGATTGAGACTTACGTCTCCCGTGGGCACCCAGCCTAATACTATTGGTCGTCATCTTGGAGTCGCCCCTGAGTCCCTTTTCCTCGTGTGAACACGGCGCCCGTCCGACGCTGTCGTGCTCCTAACCCTCGCCCTCTCGTCTCGCCTCCATACTTCCTACGTAGCAAGACACGCCGTAACAATCTGGTATCAGAGACCATGTCGTCTTCGGCGCCCGCTGCGCCGACCCCGCCGCCACCGTTAACCCATCCACTGCCGCCACCACCATCAACCCATCTGCTCCCGCCATCACCGTCAACCCATTCACACCCGTTGCCACCGACGCCATCATGACCACTTTGGTTGCTCAGCAGTTGTACATGCCGCCGATGTCCCCCGCTGAGGCATTCAATACCCTCACGGTGGCCATCTACCAGATACAGCACCAGCTGGGCGACCTGTCGCTGCGCATGGCGGCACTCGAGCGCCGCTCGCCGCCATTATCATCGCCTTTCCAGTACTGGCTGCCCGGCTACGGCGGCATCCCTTCGCTGCCGGCCTCTGCGCCGATCACCTTGGAGGTGCCACCGGCGTCGTCCACTGCATCTGCACCACCGGCCCCGTCCGCCCCAATCACGGCGGCCGGATCCCTGCCTCCACAGCCATCGATGGGGGTTCCCATCACCCAGATATCATTTCCCCCATCGCCATCCCAGTGCCATCTATGTCCACCATCCTCCACGGTGGCTATTACACACCACAGAACACAGCTTTGCCGGCTGCCACCATGCACTGCGCGCCGCCGCACCTTCATGTTCCACAAGGGCCTCAGGGTCATACCGTGCCACGCTACCACAAACTCTCCTTTCCCACCTTTGACGGCAAGGTGGATCCGCTTGGGTGGCTCAACAAGTGCGAGCAATTTTTCCGCGCCCAGCAGACCCCGGATGCCGACCGTGTCTGGCTCGCTTCCTACCACTTGAGCGGCACGGCTCAACAGTGGTACATCACCCTGGAGCGCGACGCTGGCGAGCCTGACTGGGATGAGTTTAAACGTCTCTGTCACCAGCGATTTGGGCCGCCGATCAGCACGAATCACCTGGTGGACTTGGCCCGGTTGCCGTTCCACTCCACCGTCGAGGCTTACCTGGAGCTGTTCCAGGCGCGGCTCGCACATGCCAGTCACCTCGCTCCACTACAGTGGGCCCAACTCTTCACCGGGGGACTGCCTGAGGCTCTCCGCGTCGACGTCGAGCTTCACGAGCCACAGGACCTCCAGCGGGCCGTGCGGCTGGCGCGTGCCTATGAACGCCGAAATGCGGCCAACCTCCTCGCTCTTCCGACACCATCGCCACGGCCGCCACGGCGCATTCCAGGGCCCCAGGCTGCCCTGCCAGCGCCAGTAGCCCCCCAGGGCGCACCGACCTCGGCTACGTCATCGACGACGGCACCCCCGCGCCCCTTCAAGCGGCTGTCCCCGGACGAGATGGCAGCGCGTCGCAAGCAAGGCCTTTGTTACAACTGTGACGAGGCCTATGTCCGCGGCCACAAGTGTGCGCGGCTCTTCTACCTCGAGGCGGAGGACTACATCGTTGAGGAGCCGGACGACGACGACATCACACCAGCGGGTGCAGCGGCCGTGGGCGAGGAGCCGCCCGTGTTCGACCCTGATGTGCCCCTGATCTCCCTCTCGGCCATCACGGGCATCCGCATGGAGGACACATTGCAGATCCGTGTCCGCATGGGTGATTAGGAGTTCACGGCGTTGATCGACTCTGGCTCGACGCATAATTTCATCAGCCTGCCAACTACCCGCCGCGCCGGCCTTCGGTTCCACGACAGCGGGGGCGCCCACGTCACGGTGGCCAACGGCGACCGCGTGCCCTGTAGTGGTCTCGCGCGGGATGTCGCAATCCGGATCGGCGACGAGTTCTTCACGATCGACTGCTACTCCATCGGCCTCGACTGCTATGACATGATCCTCGGTACCACATGGCTGCGCACCCTCGGGCCCATCCTGTGGGACTTCGACAACCTTTGCATGGCGTTCAACCACAATGGCTGCCAGGTGCTTTGGAAGGGGATCGGGTCCACGCGCACCGATATTCCTCCCATTGGCCGCCTCCAAGCTCATCGCCTATTCACAGCCAAGGTCACGGAACCGGCCCTGCTCGAGCGCCTGCTGGACTCCTACGCCGATGTCTTCGCCATGCCGGCGGGGCTGCCACCAGCCCGCCCGTGTGACCACCGGATCCATCTGAAGCCGGCTACAGAACCCATCGCGGTGCGCCCTTACCGGTACCCCCAACTCCAGAAAGATGAGCTGGAGAAGCAATGTGAGGAGATGCTCCAGCAAGGCATCATACGGCCCAGCACATCACTGTTCTCGGCACCGCTGCTGCTTGTCAAGAAACAGGATGGATCGTGGAGGTTTTGTGTCAACTACCGCGCTCTGAACGCAGCAACAATCAAAGACAAGTTCCCTATTCCGGTTGTTGAGGAGCTGCTGGATGAGCTCCATGGCGCCAAATTTTTCACAAAGCTCGATCTTCGCTCGGGGTATCACCAAGTGTGGGTTCACCCCGAGGACACCGCCAAGACGGCGTTCCGCACTCACCATGGCCACTTCGAGTTCCTGGTCATGCCCTTCGGCCTGTCCAACGCGCCATCGACGTTCCAAGCTCTCATGAACTTCGTCCTCAGGCCGTTTCTTCGCCGCTGCGTTTTGGTGTTCTTCGACGACATCCTCATCTACAGCGCCACGTGGACCGAGCACCTACAGCAGCTGCGTGCCGTCCTCGACATTCTGCGCGCGCACCGGCTGCACATCAAACGCTCCAAGTGCTCCTTCGCCACGTCTTCGGTCCATTACTTGGGCCATGTGATTTCGCAGGAGGGCGTCGCCATGGACGAGACCAAGGTGGAAGCTGTCCAATCCTGGCCGCAGCCGTGCTCAGCCCGGGGTCTGCGGGGATTTCTCGGCTTAGCCGGGTATTACCGGCGCTTCATCAAGGAGTACGGCACCATCGCAGCGCCACTGACCCAAATCCTACGGAAGGACGGGTTCCGGTGGACGGAGGCCGCAACAACAGCGTTTGACGGCCTGAAAATGGCGCTATCTGCGGCTCCTGTGCTGCACTTGCCGGATTTCAACAAGGAGTTCACCGTCGATTGCGATGCGTCGGGCTCGGGCTTCGGTGCAGTCCTACATCAAGGCGCCGGGCCAGTCGCGTTCTTCAGCAGACCGTTCGCCGCGCGCCACCTCAAGGTCGCGGCATACGAGCGGGAGCTCATCGGCCTAGTGCAGGCTGTTCGGCACTGGAGGCCGTACCTTTGGGGTCGTGCTTTCGTCGTCCGCACCGACCACTACGCGCTGAAGTTCATGCTCGATCAGCGCTTGTCTACAATACCCCAACACCATTGGATTAGCAAACTCTTTGGGTATGATTTCAGGGTGGAGTACAGGTCTGGCAGCCTCAACACCGTCCCTGATGCTCTTTCACGCCGGGATGGTGATGACCCTGTGCTGTCCGCGCTTCCGGCCGAGGCTCCGACGTTGGCAGCCATCTCGGTGCCCACGTTCCAGCTGTTCGAGGACCTGCGCCGGGAGCTCAGCTCGTCGGACGAGCTACGTTCCCGCTGGGACGACGTAGCGGCTGGAGCGCACGGCGCCGAGTGGCGGGTGCAGGACGGCCTCATCCTCTTTAAAGGACGCGTGTTCGTGCCTAGCTCGTCGGCCGTCCTCGACAACGTCCTCCAGCTGGCTCATACAGCGGCACATGAGGGCATCCAGAAGACGCTACAGCGACTCCACACCGAGTTCTTCGTCGAGCACGACCGCCGTGTGGTCTGGGACTTCGTCCTCGCCTGCACGACATGCCAGCGTAACAAGACGGAGGCGCTGCACCCTGCGGGACTGCTACAGCCACTGCCGGTTCCGTCCCGGGTCTGGGCGGACATTGCCATGGACTTCGTCGAGGCGCTTCCGAGGGTCCATGGCAAGAGCGTCATCCTCACCGTCGTCGATAGGTTCTCGAAGTACGCCCACTTCATCCCGCTAGGCCACCCGTACACGGCGTCCTCCGTCGCGCGCGCATTCTTCCACGACACAGTGCGGCTTCACGGCTTCCCCGACTCCATCGTCAGCGACCATGATCCTGTCTTCATTGGCAACATCTGGCGCGATCTATTCCGACAGGCTGGGGTACAGCTCCGCATGAGCACGGCTTTCCATCCGCAGACGGACGGCCAGTCGGAGGCGGTGAACAAGACCATCGCCATGTACCTCCGCTGCCTCACTGGAGACCGACCGCGCGACTGGCTCGACTGGCTACCGTGGGCGGAGTTTTGCTACAACACCGCCCACCACACCGCACTCCAGACGTCGCCGTTCACGGTGGTCTACGACCGTCCACCACCGGAGCTCCTGCCCTATGCGCCTGGCCAGGCGCAGACCGACGCCGTAGACGCCATGCTCGCCAACCGGGACGAGTTCTTAGCCGAGGTGCGTGCTCGGCTTCTTCAGGCACAGGAGTACGCGCGCCGCCACTACGACAACAAACACCGCGCGCTGGAGTTCTCGGTTGGGGACTGGGTGTGGCTTCGTCTTCTCCACCGCCCTACCCAGTCCCTCGTTCCGGGTCACCGTGGCAAGCTTGGCCCCAAGTATGCGGGGCCTTTCAAGGTGCTCGAGCGCATTGGAACGGTGGCGTACCGTCTACAGCTGCCAGAAGGTGCTCGAATTCATGATGTGTTTCATGTCGGTGTGCTCAAGCCGCTCCGTGGTACGCCCCCATCAACAGTACCAGCACTGCCACCGCTTCGCCATGGAT